ATGTAGCAGGTTTATTCTGTCATTCTACCTGTCTGATCGGTCTGGCATTATCCTGTTTGAGTAAAACGACAATTTTCTTTTGAGATGACCCCTTACCTACAAAGGTAACATATTTCTCATCTCTCTGAGAGAGAGACTGTGATCTTACCACCTGACTTTACATGCCTATGGGACCCTCACTCTTGCTTCGTTGCCACTTCTATTCTCTGATGACAAGGAGCTTGTGAAACGTTACTGGCAACATCTCTTCTTTCTGATAGTGTACCTTCAAATATATAGTCTACATATACTTTACAACAATAGACTTTTATCCACAACCAAATTTGGAAGACATGAAGTTACATGGTAATTGACACCAACAAGAGTTATCTCCCAGTTTTATCCGGTAGAGAATCCCAAACAATAGCATGCTTGCATCTCAATGTCTTCAAGAAGGACATACCCTAACCGCTAACTGCTAACATACAAGTTTTTACGAAGTCTTCAAAAATCTATTCAGGTGTATATGTGTAATTGAATCAGCTTCCATCCTTGACAGCTTTCAAGTTCATGACTTTACGCCATCATGAACGACTTATTCTTAATTGAGCATTCGTAGCCTCGTACATATTCTCTAATTTCTTCCAAAGGAACTTGAGGATCTTTTTCATTTCTCAATGGTTTGTACAGGGCTAGCATCTCGCCCTATCTATTGGCGTATTGTACCCAAATGTCTGCTTTTTTTAAATTTCTCCCAACTGCCTCTTTTTCATTTCATTCCGCTTTGCACTGTCACCTTCAAATATGGATCAACAGATGCTTTGCCATTTTGAGGATAGGTCCTCCACTTTCTAGATTTCCACATGGAATAATTTTCGGAATCCCGCATATTATCATTGCCCCGGTGATTAGCCATGTTGAATTCTGAATCTGAACAAAATTTCAACTATTCACGGAAATTCGAAGCTATTCAACATTCCAGTGAATAGATAACATTTTGACAGGAATTTCTAACCAACCAAAGGACATACTGAATAACCAAATTGTAAAGAAGCGATATACTAACATGATACCCGAATGGGGGGCCCGACAAAAAATACCGAGGTGGTAAAATATAAAATTAAATATACTTATTTACCATCATATACCTCCAATAATTAAGTATTTGAATATTGATGGTCGAATCCACACAAACAGAAATAATATACCACGGTAAAAATTAAAATAAATTACCGTTAAATGCCAAGGATGAAAAAAATAAAGAACATTCGAGATTACAGTGGGTTCACCCTTCAACTGTTATGGGCTACATTCCACGTGACCAAAAACTCCGAATAATTCTTCTACTAAAATAGTAGGTACAAAAGAGACTTACAAAAATAGTGGCACTCTAAGTGTTTAAACAAAAAACACCCCAAAAATTACAATACTCACTATTGTCTCTTTTTCCCAATTTTAGGAAACTTCTTTCCTAAAATTATAATCTTCGTTTTTATTTTTTTTTTGTACGCCTTAGTGAAAGAAAACCTTCTCCTAGGGACGCAAGAGTGGACGCGCATTTTTTTCTTTTCTTTCTTTGGCACCGTCCATTGAAAGAAAAAAAATAACGCTGCCTATATTTTTTTTTTTCTTCATTTCAAACGTTGTGTGGGTCCCACACGTTTGAATTTCTTCTTTTTTTTTTTCTTTTCAAAATGTCTGTGGGTCCCACAACGTTGGAGTGGACCCCAAACAACAGATATAGTATACCCAAATTAAGCTCACAAGAAGCCATTTAGCTATATTATGCATGCATGATCCAAATACGGACGCTGTTTGCTTTTATCTTGAGAATATGTCTAGCGTAAACCCATCCACGAAGTTACTTATTTAATCAAAGTTGAAGATTTCTAGCTTCATCATATTATAGAAATTATGAATTTTTCTGATACACTAATGTTGTTTTTTAATAAAAAAAATTATTTAGAATTAAAATTTTATTCTTTTATTTACTGGTACGATGTTAAATATTTATTCAGCTACTATCAACCACTTTATTGGCATATTTAGTTTGATTACTTAGTTTTTAACTTCTTTCAATTTAAAATATTGTTTTTTTTTGAGTAAAATTAAAATAGGATAATTTTTATTAAATAATATGTCAATATTAAAAATATAATAAAATGAATTTTTATGATTTAAAAGTGGTTGATATTTTGCCAAAATAATTAGAAAGTAGTTCTTAAGCAATACTAATTAGGTTGCATAATTTTTAGAGAGACTGTTTTTCTAATTAAGCCATTATTGCTTTTTTAAATTGTGCCCGGATGCCAAGAATAAGTGAATTCATAACCCTCTCTTTATCTTTCATCTTCTAGCATATAGCACCAATCCCAGGGCAAGCCGAGTTGTCTATGGAGTCAAAGCCAACAGCCGAAGTGGAAAAGGCAGAGTCACAGCCAAAAAAATTTAACAAAAGCAAAACCAGATCAAAATTATGGCCATTTTTCACAACTTCTTTAACCCCATAAATTGGTTACCTACCCTACCCACCTGCTATGCATCCCACGGCATTAATGGGTGAGCCGTTGCATACGATACTGCTCCGGCTCCTCAATCCCATTTCCCAGTACTGCCACTGACGACAATGTCCATTAGTTGGGTCTAAGGAAAGATTGGTGGCCGTCGATCATGTTGATCGGAGTCTGAGATATGAGGGATGTTGGGACAGCAATATTGGGTTCAAGTCGTTACGTTTCGGACGGTTGAAGATATTACCAGAGACAAGAAGACAAATGTTAGTGGATGTGTGATCCAATGGTCATTCGAGGTTGATATCATGTGGAAGGGTGTGGGTGTTGGAGATATGGTGCAAACATAGTATGAGGAGTGGCCTTCTAAGAGGACTTACAAGGGCGAAGAGAATGGGAAGATCGGCTTCAAGGTAATGAGCTTTGATCGCGTCCCATCATCTTTTCCATTTCTTCTTATTTTTCAAATTAATATTTAGAATCTCGTAACAACGAATTTTGGTTAATGATTCTCTTCCTCACCCCTTTTCTGTTCTTTATTGAAAATATTTTGGATTATCTTTTATTGGCTTTCTAGAAATTTAATTGATTATGCTAGTATATATACTCTGTTTCAATAAATTATATTTTTCATTTTTCAGATTTTTTTTTTTGTTTTTCGGCTGTTGTAGCAGGACAGTTCTCCCTTTAAATAAAACATTCGCCGAATCGGGTGATATTTGCTAAGACGGAAAATCATTCGAATTCGAATATCCTGACTCCCTACATATATTATTAATAGACGAAAAGACCAATTAGATTACACCTAATTGGCTTTCCAAAACATTATGGCATAAGTATCTTTTTCATACCTTTAAGGGAATATAATATGCTCTTGATAATGTGGCCTTACCATACAAAACTCGTGTACTAATCAGTAAATCCAACCGTCCATAATCCAAAGTATTACTCATAACATGGATATATAGCATAAAAAAACTATCTAAGTTCAAATGAAAGCTAATATTAATAATTTCAAGAAAATAGAGTAAATTAGTAAAAAAATATATAATAGCCTTCTTAAATAAAAAATTTAATTATTAATTTAGTTTTATGTCATTGGATAAGCATAATAACACGACAATTCCCTTTTTAATTGGTTCCCCCCCAAAAAAAACAACAGGCTGCGTTTTGCTTATGGACATGGTCCCGGCTCCGCGATCGTGACATCCTTTTGTTATCTATCCCAGATTGGATCTCTTATGCCAACCACAAAATAATAATTTACAACCTAAACCAAACAATATAACTTGAGGCAAAGGGACCCAAATTGACCAGAATGGGCTATTGACTTCAAGTTTAACCAGCAATATGCCCGAGGTTGTTTCGTAAATTTGTTCCCTCGCACTCCCTCAATGGGTCTCTCTCTCTGAAAAAGAACAATAAACAATTTTTGCTTTCCTTTTTTTATTCTCGCTAGCTAAATTTCCTTTTCCTATGGCAGAAGAAACCAGAGCCTAAGTGGGGAAGGCAACAACAACGGTGGAGTTAAAGGCGCCTTACACAGCAGACCAACAGGCCTTTCGTGCGGATTTTTGCAATATAGACAACGTTTGTTTCCATTTGGTTGACAAAGTGTTACCACGTTGAAGGTGAGCTGAGGCAAGCCTGGTCTGATCCGCCCGGTACTTGCGCTACTGCCACCGCGCCCATATCCTTTGATGGAACCGGTAAATCACGGATTGACTGGGCTAAAGAGAAGATCATTTGGATAATTGATCCGATCGAAACGGCTTCTTAAGCTACGAGATCACCGAAAGTAATATGGGATTCAATCTTAACGTGGCTACATTCCAAAGTATTGCCGGTTCGACGGGAAATGGTCAACGCAAGGTTGCAGGATTGATTGGTCAAATTCGTTGCTGATCCTATTGCAAGGACCAGTGGAGTTTGGAGGACTTTCAGCTCCGTATTTAATATACCTCATTGCGATATAGTGGCCAAAAAAATTGGAAGAAGAACTAGTGCTCTTCTGTGACGCTTTGAAAAATTTCATTTCCAGTTCAATTAATAATATGTTATAACTGTGACTTGGTTATTGAATAATGAAATTAGCATTTTCTATACTATCTCATCCAGTGTTCAAATGTTCGACAGATATAAGATATTGGATGGCTACTTTAATTTAATATCTTTTACAAATTTGCTGATTTTGGTATATAACCCTTCTATACAAAATTTACATCAGCAGCGTAAACAAGTAACTTAAAAATTGGAAAGGTAAAGTGATTAGGGTTTTAACCTCTTAGACTTCTCTGCTCCCTTTTCTCTCAAGGCAGAAAGAAGGAATGTAGATTTCTCCACCCATTACTTCGATGTCTACGATATAAGCAGCCCGCAACACATAAGAACGGAACCAACATTATCTTAGCTTTATCACATAATTACAAGCTCCTTAAACATGCAAAGCAGAAAGCACAAATGTGAGGCGAACATTTTACCCTTCGCAAATTTCTATCCAGTGGAAGATAATTACCAGAAACTTATGAACATTTTTCGGAACTGCACCTTAATTTCTTCTCCATCCGAGCTGATATATGATCCTGCCCCAATCTCTTCACGCTCAGGCTTCAAAGAGGAGTCATGCAAAAGCCCATCATAGATCTTTATGTCTTGAACATGGAGGCTGCCTCGTTGTACAAATCCTTGAGATGCTAGTGGATCTTGTTTTACCTTTATCAAGCCAGTTCCATGAAGAACAAAAGAATGTACCAGTCACGGACTTTGAAGTTACGCATCAGGTAAGAGGAATATACGCAATATCTCATGGCCCAGTTCGGACCCTTATCGGCCCTGTGTAGACCAGGTGGATCAGAGTACTGGCCATAAGTGCTGCAGGGGGATCTCTAGAAAACTGGGGATGCCCCTTTTTGTTTGCTCCTTTAAATTGGAACCTTGGACAACTAGGAAAGATAGGAGCCACAGCCTGGCAATAAAGACTAAATCATTAAATTATAATCCTGCTCTGCTATCCATTTAGGATCAAAAAGCTTTTTGTCAACCAAAAGCATTTTCTAGTTGAAAAAATGCTTCAGATATTGGCAGTTTAAAGAATAGGCTAGTATCTTCTTCTGCTTATGGCAGTTTTTAGGTTCAAACCAAATCTAACAAATGTTTAAAATTCAGGACCAAAGCTTACCAAGCATGCTTGCAACACGTAAAATTGAGCATCATGCATGATACATGGGGAGAACACCTACCCCAACAATGGGATCGTGCCGGCTTAACACGCAAAGCTGGCGAGGTCAAGTATTACCCTCAACAAACTCTTCAATGCGTAGGATATGTAAGCTGCCTGCACAAAGATGCAATTATCATTTTAAAACTCGATTATAAAATAGGCAAAACCCAAAAAAGACTCTATTATTTTCATCTTTTCTCCTCTTACCTTTAATACCCACTGCCCCTCAGTTTGAGTGACCGAGAAGGAAGCATGGTATCCCAGGGTGCTCCTGACTCGATCTCCGACACCCCGAAAGATCCCTGTTAATAAACAGCCATTCACAAAGTTTATCCTTGCCATTAAACTCCGCATAACATGATGAGGTTTACAAAGCAAGGCATGCCTTTTTGTTTGTGGTGAATTAGACGGTAACGGTCTCCCTTTTATATTTTTATTGACCACAAGGAAAATTAAAATATGGACAGTACAAAATGAACGGCACCAATGTATGTCAGCCTTTGAATTATGCACGGGAACTAGATTCAAGATTGCGATAAAGATATGTTTTTTGTATTGATGAACAAAGGCATGAGACATTTTTAATGGGCAGGGAATTGATTCAAGATTAGGATAAAAGACTCCTTTGAGTTGATAAAGAAAAAAGGCAAAGCTGAAACTTACAGTATCTGCAACAACATGGTCTAGTGAAGGAACATATCCATGCAATCCCATCATTCCCACATGACCTTATAACAAACAAAAATAAAAAGTTGAAAAAAGATCATAATAATTGATAATAAACAAGCCAGCAGGTAAACTTAAACTCCCAACACAAATGGTAGGAGCTATATAACAAAAACACCATTCAGCCGTTAAGCATACATGTTCATAAAATAGATACCTATTCCAATCCATTGCATTAGACTCCAAAGTTTGCGTGAGATTAGTTGCTTTGCAAAACTCGAGAATATCTACCACTGAAAATGAAAAAATCAGAACCATATAAAAAATCCTATTGGGTATTTAAAAAAAAAAAAATGTTAAGCATGAACAGGCTTCCAAAGAATTTGATTTAGTAATATCTCTTGGCAAACCCACATCCATTTTTTATAATTACAAGATAAACCAAAACAGAAGGTACATATGAAAATGGAAAAAAGGAAACCTAAGTGTTAGGCAACACTTGCTCATTAAAGCCCATGAAAATAAAATGATCCTAAAAATGCCCTGAAATCACCAATGCAATATAGACACAACAGATAGGAGACTTAGATAAACATAAGAACATCTAATCGAACCCATAACATTAAATCGGCCAAACACAGCACAGAAATTAATTATTTCAGCTATCGATCTAGCGCAAAGCAAATTTCAAAAATTAGAAAACTAAAAAACAACTCAATACATCCCGGAAAATTATACCAATTTACTGTCTCAATAACAAAATAGTTTCTACCTCCCGAAATCTATGGAGCTTCAATACATATAGGAATTAGCCACAAAAATCAATCCACAAAGCGCAGACGAATCAAATAACAAATTTTGGAAAAAAAAATTTAAGTGAATCATTTGTGCCTGCACTATAATTTGAACTTTAAAGAAGCCACAAAGCGAAACACAAAATGATCTAATATAATTGGTCGATTTTAAAATGGTTTAAGGTACTTGTCTAATTCAACAATGCAAGCCAGATGAAGTATAATTAAATTCATTTAGTGGGAAGCTTGCTCTTCTCGAATCCTTAACGACCCAGTAGAGTTATAAAATAGGGAAAAAAGGAAAACGTTCTATTAGGACTCATTCCTACTCAATTCACCCATAAAATATTACAGTACACGTAATAAAATCGCTGGCACGAATCATGTGGCCTTAGCTTTTTCTTTTCAACAGATAAATGAAATAAATAATTAAGAAACGTGATCTCACTTCAATTCACCGCTAAACCGGCAACCATGAGCGGCAAAAGAGAGCGTTCCGTCTAACACCAAAGAACAAAGAAGTGCCTCCATCGGCAGTGGAATCCCGTCCGCTTGTTCAATCTATACCTTCAGGCAAGGGCTCTTTCTTCTCAACGTATCCTCCTCTTTCTAGTCGCCACAACCAATTGCCTCCTCGACGACTTCTTTCGAGAGTGCAGCGGGGGGTCAGCCGACCTAGATTTGAGAGAGCATCGGCGAGGGAAAGGAGGAGGAGAAGAGAAAGAAGATAGTGTTTTGGACCCAAAAACAAGAAAATGTTTCTCGTAGAGGTATTTCAGAATCGGAATTATTCCGATTGCTCGCTCCTGAGGTCAGCGGAGCTCCATCTCATGCCGCTGACATTGGCCGAGATGGAAAAAAATTGAAGGAAACCAATTAATTTGCAGCAGAGAGCAAAATAGAGTTGGGAACAGGGATGGAGAGCAGAGGAACCCGTCAAACGATGGTTCCAGAGTAGAAGAAAAGGGAGAAATTTTGGGCCGCTGGAAGTGGATATTTATAAGTGTTGATTATGTTGGAAGTAACGGACCAAAAATTTGAGAAATGCTTATATTACCTACACGTAAGGGAACTCCTTATCGGTAGATGATGTGTAAATCAATTTAATTGGTGCAGGAGATTACTGCGTTATAGTTTATGTTCGTGAGGTGGACGTTAGTGATGGTAGTTTTCTAGAAGGTGCAGTGTAGGATCTTGCAGCAGAGGATCAGTTTTGAAGTGGTAGTTTCTTTTGAAAAGTTTTGAATGTCATCGACGTGCAATGTAAGGCGGTCAGAAGTTGTTGGAAGGCTTTGAGAGCTTTTGGGCCTTTTTTTTGAATTTTATTTTTTGAATATTTGTAAAATTTAGGAAGAATTTTCCGACCCAATTAGTGTTTCATGATGACATTCTATAATTAATTAAATTTATTTATTTAGTTTTACACAAATAAAATTTTTCTTAAAAAATTGATTATTAAAATCTGTGGCCAAATGGTCCCATTCAATGGGCGACATATATTAATTCTTTATTAATAATCAATCGCTAAAATTTCGGATAAATCTCATTGTACACCTATCATTAATGATTGTTCATATTTTATCTGAGATTTTAATACTAAAATCGGACAAATAGAAAATATTTTGTTGCAATCTCTATTTATTATAGTGATTCCAGCTCTTCAATAATGAAAATCATATATAGAGATTTTATTGATTAAAAAAAAATATGCCTTTTGCAATTTATAAATAAAATCACAAAATATAATAAGTATAGTAAATAAATATATTCCATTTTTCCCTTATAGATATGCAAAAATTACTAGGAAGTTAACAAATTATGAATAAGACAATGTGTTTTCTACCTTTTTCAACACGTTAGTTGTAATTACATTTTCATTAGGTTCATTTGGTATTAATGAATTCAATGATTATACTATAGTATATTAGTAATTACATTTGAGGATTCAATTTTTAATTTTAATTGTAATTAAAAATTTTAAAATGAATGGAGTTTAAATTTTCTAGACAACCAATATACCGATAGAAACAAATGATTAAATGGAATATACGCATAGTGCCAAAGTTTTAATTTTCAGTCCTGTATACCTAAAATAAAGTTTATTCCAAATTCGGGATAAGAGAGTATAGGGATGCAAATTAAAAAGACTAGGAGAGGAAAAAGCTGAATTGGTGGAGCTGACGACACAAGCACAGGCAATAAAAAGAAAAGAATAAATCGAAAGTTTCAGATGCAATCTTAAAAATAGCGCGTTCTGGTTCATATTCCAAATCAATCTTAACAATAATGATTGTCGTCACCAAGATTTCGTGCTACGTGTACCCAATCAAGCCGGTTTTACGATACAAATTAAATCGACTATTTATATAGTGTGCACAACGTCCACGTCTGTTTCATTTCTAATACGAAGACGGACGTGTGTATTTTCGTGGACTTCATTGCAGTTTATTTCATATCTCAAACCGTCCAATCTCCATGCCAATTTTTAATCAACGTATGGTTTTCCTTCATTTTACACCACTAATGTGAATATTTTATTTATACACCGGCCATTTTGAAAAGTTCTTATTCAGACGTCCAAGGATATTCCAAAGGCACCCAAAAACAAAAAGTCAAACATGCGGTTTTATTACATTTAATCAAACCATATTTTATTCAGCACTAATATTCTACCTATTAAGGATTAGGTTGTCTTTGAAACTTGGATACTGCATTTAGGAGAGTCAAAGCATTCAGTTAATTAAACCACAATATTAACCATACCAATAATCATTATTTTGAATATCTTGGAAGTCTACACCCAAATTAACATTTTTTATTACTATTCTTAACTGAAATCGAATGATATAACAGAGAATAAAATTAAAATAGAACTAAATAGATATATAAGAAAGAGACTGGATTTTAGATTAACCCAACATAATTATTTTAGATAAAAAATTAAATTCGATTTCAAGTTACACACCCCAGTAACTGAACCAGAAATAAAAAAATTAAGCAGTTTTCTATTTACGAAACTGATTTAAATGAACCAATTTCGAAGGATATTTAACAAAAAATCAGACTGAAATAGACCGATTTTAATTTGGTTTTCAGTTAGAAATCAAAGGCTTTGGCTTGCCCTAACTTACATTCATTTTGTAAACTCTTTACTATGTTCTCACTTAAACCCTCCCGTGAAACTCCAGTTACTTACACAATAAATACAAAAACGTAACTTCCAGTTTAACCTTATTTTATAAATAGTTTCATTTTAAATTACTTTAATATACTTACTCTTTGCAAATTCTAACATTTTTTATGTTAGTGGAATTAAAATATATAAGGGAAAAAACTTTTTTTTGTTTTTTGAATTCTAAAAAAATAAAGTGAAACAACTTAAAAAATGACAGGTTTTGAGGTGCAACCGGAAAGATTACATTTTAAAACCGGCATTTAAATGATGGCTGCCACAAATTTCTTTCTCTCTTTCATTATGGCAACCTCCTTAATTGTCTGTGGTCTTATATTGGACCCAACGTCCTGATATGGAAAATCTGAACCATGCAGGCGGAAGAATTGACTCTGATCTATATTATCTGAGCATGCCATTGGATGTAATATTGGATGGGTATATATGTTATACGTGCTTTTGTAATTATATTATGACATTTAAAATTTTAATTATTTTAAAAAAATGACTATAATTTAAATTTATCTAAAAATCCTATAATTTAAATTATTAAAATAAAATTAAATATTTATATATTAATTTAATATTAATTTTTTATAAAATTATTAAATTAAAAATAATAATTATTAATGTTATATAAAAATGATAAATATGAAAAAGAAAAATTTGTTATTTTAACTGCGAATGCAAATCATCAATTATTTGCTCAAGTAGAAATGATGGATTTTGATGCATGGCTCAACTTTTCCAATTAAGCGACCACTTTAATTTACACATTTATCCCCCTATAATGCCAAAATCTTTTGTAAGAACCAAGATATACCATGTGGTAATTTCATTACTCCGAGCTTCCAATGCATGGCTTTTCCTCGTAGCTGTGCTTGTTTTAAGTCTGTACTAGCTTAATTTACCAATACTACCAAAAGATACACGCATTAATACACTATATTAGGCGCCTTTGTCGTTTTATTTGATATGAAAGTAATTTAAAGACAATAACATGTTAGAGGAACTTTAGGCAAAGAAGGTTATTAAAGTAGGCAAAAAAAACACAATTATTAGAGATTGAGCAATAAAATAATCGATCGTGTTTCTCAAAAGAAAATAATCATGACCACTCTACTTAAAGACTTGTGCTTGGAAAGGAAGATTTTTTGGCAAAAAAAACCGAAAATATCAAAGGAAGCGTAAAAAAAAAAAAATATATAAATATATATATTATTATATATATATATTATATATTTTTTTTTTTTTCGGGACATAAAAATTATATAATTATTTGCAAATTTAAATATTATTAATTGTACTCTATATATTTAACTGTTATGATAAACATAAAGCCAAACTTAGAGATTTTTATTAAATTTTTAAAATCTAAATTTATTATATGTTAAATTCTAATTATACATTCACCCTTCCAATATTAAAAAGTACATTTTAATTAAATTAGGATAACTTATTTTTAAGTTTCATTTCTAGTATATTTTTGTTGACGTATATTAAAAAATATTCGGAAATATCATAAATTTATAGAAATATTTTTTTATTATTTGTAGTTTACTGTGCAACACGATAGCTAGGGTCTGCTTATATTGGTATAGATTGGTGCCATGAAATATCTCATCCAGTACAAAAATTTTCAGGATTGGGCCACCATGATTTAAATAAATTAATTATACTTGGGTTTCAGGGGTCAAGATAGCGGGAGTGGGCCCGATCCCAAGTTAAATTGCTGAATCTTTGAAAATATAATACCCAAAAAAGCCCGAAGGCTAGAATGGTTTTTTTTTTTGAAAGAAGAATAATAGAATAGTTAATTTGATTCTAATAATAACTTATTAGGATCATTTTAATCCCCTTAAACCTAATTTAAAAGAATTAAATACGAAATGGCCGAAGAGGATAATATTAATACAACGCTCTTCCCTTCTGCTAAACAAATTACCACTGAACAAACAAGTAAGCTTTTCTGTATGTCGGTAACGTAAACCACAAAAAGAACAGCCTTTTTTACTTCTTTCCTGTGAACTTTTGCTCATTTTTAAATCGCCTTTCCCATGTATATGTTTCCCCGTTGATATTGCCAAATTTTAGATTTCATGGCGTAAGAATATTTCTAGTTGTTGTAAATTAATGTAGTTAAAATTAATTAATTAGAAGCAAAATTATATACACACCACAAATAATAGAAAATTATAAAATTTGTGCTGGTTGGAAGTATTATCCTACTGATACTACTTTACTTCACGTGGAAAGACCAAGAAATTTTTTTTTTGTTTGGAATTTTTGATTACTTCATTAAATATTAAAGTTTGCCGTTTATTCTGGTTACTTGATCACATTCCCTTGTTAATTGATGAAAAGAGACGAAAATAATCGCGTTGCAATTTCCCATAACGTAATAATTGATACTCTCTCCATTCCTAAAAAAAAAATAAATCCGAATTTTTTATGTTGGTTCGCTAATATATTTCACTTTTCTTTTTTGGCATTATAATTAATTTTTAAAATATTATATATTCTTTATTAAATTTATCTTATTTTCAATTAAATCTCATTAATTCTTACTTATTACTCCCAAAAAAAAAAAAAAATGATATCGCATAGTTCGAATAAAGGCACCAATTAATTAACCAAATAAATAGAGTTTAAAGTTTGATCTGATCTAAAATTAATTAATTAACAACTAAAGAAAAGCCAAACGATTAAAATTACATGGCAGAGGAAGAAAGTTGATTTAGCTTGGATTTAAAAAAAAAAAAAAAAAAAAAAAGTTATAAAAAAAAAAAAAAAAAAAAAGTTTTGGCATTTAATTCACAACAATAAATTCACAAGCTAAAACAATAAAAAGCATTTTGTATCTTCCACAAAAGGATATTACTTTTTCATGAAAAATCCAGGAGTTTCAATAATCTCTCTTTTGTGGCTGCTAATGCAACAGACAGTTTCCATAACCCATATATATATAACACTATCTTCTCCATATGCTCTCTCTACAAACAATCATATGAATTGAAAAACTCATTAACACCTTCTCCTCTTCAAGAAACCTGCCTTCTCTTTACCCATTTCTTTATACATTAAAGTTCATGGCACCCAACGGAGAAACCCTAATCGGCTCATACTTAAAGAGAGACAATATGCCCAAGCCTAGTAGACTTTCAATGGAAGGTCTACAAAGAACAGTATCCGATATTTCATTTGAACTAAGCAAAGAATTACCCGTTGCAGATTCAAACAAGCTAAACGATCTTCCTCCTATATCCGAGGTAGAAGACGCAAAGTGCGAATGTTGTGGCATGTCTGAAGAATGCACGCCTGGGTACATAAAAAAGGTTGGTGAAAAATATTTGGGGAAATTTATTTGTGGGTTATGTGCAGAAGCAGTGCAACAAGAAATGGAGAAAAATGGAGGGAAAAGAGAAGAAGCAGTAAACGAACATATGAGTGCTTGTGTAAAGTTTAATAGGTTTTTTAGGGTTAATCCTATATTGCATCAAGCTGAGGCTATGAGAGAGATTTTAAAGAAGAGTTCAAGTCTTAGGGCTAAGTCCATTAGCCCTAGGCCTGATAGAGGTATTACTCCTAAGAAAGGTGGTATTGCTAGGAGTTCTAGCTGTATTCCTGCAATAACAAGGGAAATTACAGACCAAAGATTGGCTAGTTAATTAATTAATTAATTGGTTGAATTAATTTTTTTGTTGGTGTGTTATGTTTAATTAGGGTTTAAATTGAAATTTAAGCATGGTTGTTAAGAACTAGCAGGACCTTTATCCAGTTATTTTCAGTTATTGTCTAGCTTCATGTTTTTGATGGTTTTATGATCAAGAGTTTCTTGATGTTGTAACTTTGTAATTATTATTACTATTATTATTTTTTCTTGTAAGCATGGCTTGTAGTTTGTAAGTAATTATTATCCAACTGTTTAATTAAATTATCAAGTTTAAATCTGTATAATACACTCGGTGTTGCGTTCTATAAATTCTTTTTTCATAAATTAAACTTATGAATTTGTAAAAATTGCTGTTGCTGAACTCAAACGTGTTTTATCGTTTGAGCCACTTCTCATGATTAATAACAACATAAAATTTTCAATATCCATATTAAAAACATACAACTTGATTGAAAATAAAAATATTAATTTGATTGAAATATTGGTAGAATCTCATATTTTGACATTATATATATTAAATAACGACATATATATGAAATTGATAACAGGATTTAGATTTTATAAATTACCCCTCACAGCTTGAGTATTTATCTCGTAATTCAATAAATTTAAAAAAATAATTATTAGCAATTTATTTTTCTAAAAATTTTATGATGTATAATTAAAATAGAGAATTATATAAATTCGAGACTTGATCTCAAATACAGAACTCACCGGAGAATGAATAGATTGAGTTTAAAATAACAGCGATTAATTACTATTGCTATAAATATAAAGCAAGCTTGTATTTTATCTTCGTTAACTCTTAAGCATGTATCTTGGTGGAGTATGTTAAAAGGATTGTGCTTAATTAGAATATGAAGCAGGCGATAGAAGTGTTGTGTATATAGTCTCTAAAGTGACAAGCTAATTAACCACTTTATATGGTAAGGGAGAGTAATAATTTTTTTTTTCTTTTTTGGATTTTCATGATTGGTCTTTCATCTTGTAAATAAAGTTCGCTTGAAAATACAGTTCATTATCGCTCATCTAACCGTCCATTGATAAAAGAAATTAATTGTCAAGTGAAAATCATCAGCATTTAGCTAATTATGTGATCAACTCACAATTGAAGAATCATATGTCAAATTCTCTACCAAATGAAATTTATTAAGAAGGGAGAATTCTATTCCATTACGTATTGGATTTTGGAGCTTGTTAGCGAGTGCACACAGAGCTAACACTCCAAGGAGTCAAAAATGACAAGTCGTTTACAATCTTTCCTTGGATCGTGTGAAGACTAAAGAGGTCCAAATGTGAGAGTCGGGCCTGATGATATCATAGTTATAGACAACCTCGGCTTATTTTATTATGGGCCGTTAATCTTTTCTTATTTTAATTTCTTCAGGCCCAAACTCTTGTGTAATTGGGTATTGTTTGAAAGCCCATAATTTATTGGTAAATTGGCAATCCATTTGCAGAAAATAGAAACAGTGGGCATCATATGATCACGAAAAAATTGAATGTGTTCGCTTTCCGTTTTTAGGGCAGTAGACAGTGGATCATCCTATTCTCTCTAGTTCTATAAATAGTAAGTATAATTTTCTCTTCCCATGATTTGCATGCAATTTTATCTTTATATCTCTTTCCATGCATCTTTTTTTATTATTTAATTATTTTATTTATTTTTGGTAAATAAGGGAGCAGACTGCAGAGCTTAAAAATTACAAACATAATTTTGGATATAACACCTCATTTACATCATACCTTAATCAAGGAACAAAAAGAGGTGATCGCACAACAATAGAATTAGAGGGGGCCAACATGTAAACTTCTTAATTTCCAAAACCATAAATTATGAAAAAATTTTTTCTATTACTGCATACAGTATAAAGATTGGTTTTAAATTTTTTCAATAAAATGCATTTTTCGAAAATTAAACTTGTGTTCTTAGAAATTGAGATCGCTAACATTAAACTTGTTTTCAACGTTATCTTTACTTATTACTTTGTTGTTTTTATTTAGTATATGGTCTAGAAACCCTTAAGCCTTAACAATGCATTCGAGAAGAAATAAGATTGGATAATAAAAGTCTAATCAATCCATCAATCAAGTTCATTCACTGAATCAAACTCAAAATGCAAAATCGTGGCAACTTGTGAACCCTCACGAGTGCACTAAGGGGATAAAATATTCCATACCTTTATTAATATTATGGACTGTCCTTTCCTTTACATGTAAAATTTTCTTTTTTAAACTCTTCACGAAATGGATGTTTATCATGATGTTTTGGTTCCTTTTATTTGAAGTACAAAAATAAAGTGAACCTTTCAAATCCAGACGAAAAATCTAACTTCCAATTTATTTTAATAACTAAATAGAATATATTAATTGTAATTAAGATTATTGTCTTTTTAAAAATATTAAAAGCAAATGAATTCTTTTAAAGCAAACCAACAAATTCAGTTTCCCATATATATGTTATATTCTTATCATTCATCTTTTTTGTTTAATCATAGTTTTGTTTAATTTATTAAAAATCAAATGAACCCGAACAAAATTATACATATTAAGGATAAGTGTTTTCTTTTAAAGAATGAACTGTGAATTATATTAGCTACAACTTTATATATGTTATACAAAAAAAAAAAAAAAAAATAATTAGCTACAACTTTTAATATAATTGTTATAACAAAAAAAAAAAAAAAAAATGTGCCCTGTAAAAAAAAAAAAAAAAAAATGTGCCCTGTAACTAAGAAACAATCCATACACATGCATGAGCCCTTCTTTTAGCATCTCCATCAATCAATCAACTCCTCTGGTAGCAAATTGCAGCGCCAACTCCTTAGCTAGCTAGTTGTGCAATTTGCTCATCAAATTTTAATGCCAATTAAAATCAACTTTTATCTGTAAAGATAAATAAAGTGCTTTCTCTGCTTGAACATATGCAGCCTTATGATTAGAACTAACTAACTAACTAACTAACTATATATATATATATATATAGTACCAGCACTCAAACCAAAAGAATAAGAAGCTTTCATGGTGCCATATACATATTTTCATGGTTACATATCAGTGCTGTTCTTTCAAATATTTTCATATATAGTACGTACATTCAAACAACGCCAATACCACCAAAGAAGAAGCAGATATGGTATTATTAAATATATGCTCATGATTACACATCAGTTCTTTCAGTTTTTTGGTTCAGGGGTCTTGGAGTTCGAGCTCTGCAATCAACTCCAGTATCAGTCAATCAAAATTTATTGGTAGTTGTTTCAGTTTTTTCTGTCTGAGCTAAATGGTTCTCTCTCTCTCTCTCTCTCCCTCCCTCTCTCTCTTTGCAGAGTGAGCAAAGGCTTCGAAAGGCGGTGTCTGATGTTTCATTTGAAATAGAGAAATATGAAAGTCTGGAACTGGAAGCCATTTCTAATAATACAAATACTGAAGTGGAGCAAACAGAATGTGAATGCTGTGGTCTGAAAGAGGATTGCACTAAAGATTACATCTCCAAAGTGAAAGGTTCCTATTCTGGCAATTGGGTTTGTGGCCTTTGCTCTGCTGCTGTTAGAGAAACATTAGAGAAAGGTCCAAAAGAAATGGCCATTGAAGAAGCTGTCGAATCTCATAAAGATTTCTGTCAAAAATTCAATAACACAACTAGACTCAATCCTAAACTGTCATTAACTTGTGCAATGAGAGATATAGCTAAAAGAAGCTCTGAGAAAAGAAACTCCAAGAACTTATCTTTCTTAAAGCTTGCTAGAAGCACAAGCTGTGTTCCTAGGATTGATCTAAAACAGTAATCTTTGTAAATTTGTTTTCATTATTATTATCAACCTTTAATTAGTGAAGGTCAGAGTGTAATATGATATAAGTCTAGTGCTAAAATGTCCATATTTATAATGAATTACAGTCTAACCACTGTGGATAGAACAAGTAAAGTTTGGTTTCTTTACGTTTTAATTATATTTTAGGTCAGACACGCGTTCATTTTACCAATTCTCTTAATCTGGAGCTTATTTTCTTAATTTTTTCTTGAGAAAAAAAATTAAGTTTATTCATCCATGCCATTTTATAGAGTCCTCCAACGTGATCCTGTAAATGTAATCTAAAGTTCTTGAATGAGCCATAACCGTAAAAATATATTTTATTCTCGCAATTTCATCCAAATTTTTATTTAAAAATCATAACATTTTTTGTTACTGATTTTAAGACGACGGAGCACAAAAGTATAAATGGAGGCATTCATTTTTGTTGTCAGAGCTAAATGATCTCGTTTCCTGCATCACCTTCAAATTTCATTTGCCAAGACCTTAGCAGTCAAATCCAGACAAAAATGCAAACTCTTATAGAACAAAGATCCAACAGATGTTCTAGATTCGCTCTTAGTAATACTTGAGAATTTGAATTTTCTCCATGTTATAGTATTAACATGATAATTTTCCAATGTCTATCAAGAACAGTGTAGATGAAATTTTAACAAAAATTTCTAATCATATTGATAACCATACACTAATTATCAATATCTTGTTAAGCTGTAATGCAATGCCTGCCCTTTTGAGTTCAATAGTTTGTTTTTCTAATAACAACCCCTTTAACCTCATAATGTATTCCTTTTCAAGTTTTAGGCTTTTTTGGCGCGTTGGAGTTCCCAGGCTCAGCCTTGCGTTTTATTCCCAAGAAGTGCTCAACCTGAAAAAAGGAAAGCTCGGATATCTCACATATTAACTCGGGGAATAACAGGGAGAAAATACTGTAAACAACCATCAACCCAAAATGAAAGGCAAGCAAAAGCTTATTTTTATGTAAAAGATCTAGTAGGTTGGGTCGCTTTTGCTATCTTTTTTTTTTTTTCCATTTGGAATTTTTATGCTCCTAATGTTTTGGGGCATCCTGACAATTATATACCTGCTAAATATCATTTGTGTGATTGTTCTCGCCAAATAAGAGAGGGAGAGAGAGGGGGAGGCAGAGATTGGTGGTTCATTATAAATCATGAGGGAAGTAAAATCCCTTGACCAAATCATAACTACCGTAACTTCCATCTGAAGCTTCATACCTAGCCTTAGCTATCACAAGGATTACTGCATTTGTTGTAATTTCATCTTATCTAATCTTTCTCTCTCACTGAACCACCTTCTAATTGAAAATTGCTCTATAGCCTATGGAACACTCCGTTTGATACCTAAGGCTAAGCATGAAACTCAGCTTTGTTGTTTTCTTTCAAACCATTAATTTAACCCAATTCAGATACAACAGTTCATTCTATTGACTTAAAGTGCAAAACGCTAGAAAATGTTTTCCAGAAAAATATTTTGTAGGAAACAATCGGAGCCTAGTAGTCTTGTTTAGGCTTCAAGATAAATCTCCACAATAGCATCTCAACAATTTGCTAGCTATGTGACTTTCAAATCTTCACAAGTTTTATTTTCAAATAAAACTCTATTAAAAAACCATGCTGTATTATATGCAAGTATACTCAATTGGATCTAGCACACAAATACAAGAAATGACTGACCTTTTTGTCACCGAGCATTGGTGTTAAGCCCCCTGGAAGATCCTTCTCAACAGTTGCAAAACCACTTCTTGGATCACTTGTTTGCCTGTAACGCAAATGAAAATATCAGTAGCATTCTAGTAATTACAATACATATGAAAAAACACCCAACTCAATTAATCAACCCGATGCAGAAAATATATAGCTCATTCTATAATTTCCTGAGGGTTTGATATAAATAAATTCCACTAATTACGGAACTCATTCTGAATTTCATGTTCCCCAAAATTCTCCACTCCTGAAAACTAAATTTATGGAATTCAACATGCATAAACTAAATGCCATTATTTAAGTGAAACAAAGGGTACAAAAGCATTTGGACAAAGGACCTAGAATTCAAAATTTCGGACTTGACATTTAGTTAAATTCAATTCTCTCCAAAATTCACGAAGCCAAAACAAATCTGACAGTTATTTTGGCACTGCAAATATCCATCGCAATTACTTCTTTTCCTTTTAAACTGCTCCGACATTCCCTAGAGAAACTCTCTGCAGTCAGTAGTAAACCATATATGAAATGTCATTATTGAAATATAAATCATACCCTGGTTTAACATGACCACTGAGGACCAGGTAGGGTGTCTTCAACTGAGCCTGGGCTTCCCTCATCCGCTCCACAGACAATGATGGTGTATCTGAATTTTTCATTTGCTTCATCTTCAGTTCTTCCAGGTATTGCTTCATGCGCTTTTCTTGCTTCATTTTTCCAGGCCCTTTCCCATGGAATTTATGAGAAATGATCCTAAAGGCTTCCTTTGGAGTCAACTGGCAAAATGTGCAAATAATCCAAAAGTCAAAAAATAAGGCATGATGTTATTAGACGGCATAAAATTTCAACACTGCACACCAAATTGGTGTCATAAATAAATTCACTCTTAATAAATATATCATAGCGGACAAAGTCATACAACCTAAGCAGACATGTAACTAAAGAGCAACTTTTATCCAATACTTACTGGTTGGTCATTTACCTTTTCTGCTCCTTCGACGTCTATGAAAAATGAACACAGCAAAGTTCATCTACATTACATGCTATAGCAAGAACCAAGGTCTATGAAGACTAATTCTCATGTTGTCTATAATCTCCAAAACAATTACTCCAGCAGTAACAGTTCTAAAGAAAAACAGTCAAGAGTAGTGTCCAAATTAAGCACCTGAAGACTTGTACTATTCTCTAAGGCCCAAGTGACTATTTTATGCAAGGACGGTAAATATCCATTTGAAGAAATCAATCTACACATCATTTATGCTAAAGAAATTCTTCACTGAATTTGCTCAGTGAAGGTCTAATTTCTGCATGCTATCGATAATGGTGAAATCTAGGAAGCAATGTCAGTAATTAGCAAGTGCGTGGATGATCAAGTACTTACAGTACGTCCATATTCATCTGTCCTGTCGATTCGGATGTCCTTAAACCTTTCATTGTCAACATCACTGTCTACAATGCCAACAAGTTTACTCTTTTTCTTGTCCATGTTTCTGCCACCCCATTCAGTACTTTCTTTAAGTGTGCCTCGCTCTTTCAGCAGCTTCAATGCAGCAGATAATCCTTTCCCGACTGGAACTTCATGAATGGTTTCATCTGGAACTATATCCTCATTATTCTCATTGACAGGGTTTTCATCTTTATCAATGTCTTGAACTTCTGTCCATCCCCCAGTTTCATCTTTTTTTTCTTGATCAGAAACTATCGGTGCTTCATCCTCATCCATGAAAACGTCATCATTACCATGCTTATGGGACTCTGGAAGAGTAAAAGCAGCTTATTAATTATTTTTCCAATATATATAAGCAAAACTCTTGTTCATTGAAGAACACTAGAACTGAAAAACCTATAACCTACATTTAGCATACTTACAGCAAACAAGCTAACATTTTCAGCTGATCTAGTGATCATAGTTCAAAATCATGATAAACATATATAATGTATTTGGGAATTCAAAACTGGAGTTAAATAAATCACAAAAGGAGGATTCCATGACTTATGGTTAAAAATAACCCCAAATGTGATCAGATAGCATGATTGTCACATAGCTCAGAAAAATTTCTGTAGAAGCTGTTCCAGTTGGTGAACCATTACACTATAGAAAACCCAAGTTTACTTACATTTCACTCTTTGCAACAGAAGTCCTTTTTTCTCCTAATTGTAATGCAAACAAGTATATCAGAAAAATAATACCTTCATCTAGTTGGAGTCCCCAGACAAACTCTTCCATCTCTGTGAAGACAATCTTGTTTTCTTGTGACTCTCCAGTTGTAGGGTTCTGATCATCTGTAGTTTGACTGCTGGTGGTGGTTGTAGCAGCAGCTAGGCGAGCAATTGCTTGAGGACCAGATGCTTTCTCCTCTTGCTTCTTGAGAGCTAATTTCCTTGCTCTTTCTAAGGATTTGTAAAGATCCTCATCATCTTCTGCAAACACTGGATTTTCATCTTCATCTAATTTAGCATGAAGCGTCTGTTCCTGACGCAGGGATTTAGAAGCCTCATCTGCTTTGTCATACGCAGCCTGGTATGCACTACTTCGCATTTCGGCTTCAGATCTCTCTTGTTCCTGCCTAATGGCCTGCCTTCTCCCATTATTTCGAGAACCAAGATCTCCAACACCCAATCCTGCAGAGACAGCTTCTGCTTCAAGGGCATCTATGTCCAGCTTCTCCTTCTTTCGCAAGGATTTCTTTTTCTTGGGCTTCTTAAATTGGAGCAGCTCTTCATGAGTATAATAATCTGACGAAATTTTCCCAGATGAACTAAGATCTTCAAAACGATTATTTGTGGAAACACCTTGTAGCCTTCTGCGGAGCTGCATAATGGAAAATTATTTGATATAAAAAAAGTTAAAAAATTATATAGGAAAACTAAAATTACATAATTACAAAAAAGCTTATGGAAACAGTTAACATGTCTCTTTCAGCAATTGCTTAATCCCCACACAGATAAAGGACATCTTCACATACCTCTTCCAGTTTCTTCTCAGCTTCACCAGTGAAGCGTCCCCTTTCATCAAGAGCCACCCCCTGACAATTATACGCCTTAAATAATAACCATATGTACTAAATAATAATTATATGTTTTAAATAACAATTCAAAATATAAGGTAGGGAACGAGGTGAAAAAAATCTGACCTCATCTGCAGCTGAATCATCATATTGTGGAAGTATTTTCTTCTCTGAAGCAGGATCATCATTGAACCTAATATGTTAGTAGAGTCAAATTAGTTACTGATTTCTAAACACTTATAAATTAATAACAAAATGCATTACGGATTTTCATCTCACTTGTCATCATAAATTCCCGTCTTCTTCTTTGCAGCCTTATAAGCATCATCCCGGCGCTTCTGCTCTCCAATTTCCACATTTTCAAGCATGTCAACCTCTGTCATACAAGACCAAAAACCTCTGTCATGCAAAAATGTTTTTGTCATTTCAGGTAACTCAAGTATAAAACATGAGAGGTGACACCAACTATTTTACCTTCATTAATATCACCATCTGCAAGTATACTCTGATCTTTGAGGGTTAAAACAACTGCTCCACCTTCCATTACCTTTTCAAGGCCATGGAGAACCTTAACTCCAGCTAGATCATCTGTTAACAAGTTGTCATCACAAAAATAAAACAATATGAATCAGAGTCCTTGCTAAAAGATAACCATGTCATTCAGCTAGCAGTCTAATATATCAGAATTCCCCAAACTTTTTTAAAAGTTTTTGCAATTTCACCCTATTTTGATCTTTTTGTCAATTTTATCCAAATTTCGACCTTTTACAGCAATAGCAACCCAAATTGCAAATAAAAAAGTATTTCCATCATTTTTAAAAAATAATGTGACATTGATAAAATTTCAAAAATAATTTTTTTTTCAAAAAAATTTTCATTAGTCTAAATAAATATTGTTACATTTATTAAATTTTAAATTTTGAAATACATGTGTTAATTAATAATTTAATAACATAAATTTTTGTTACTTACCAAAAAAATTCCCAATCATGGTATAAAAATTAAATTAATAAAATATAATCTTTAATTAAGTATTCTGTTTTATATTGCCTATATTGTAAGGATGAAAAATCCCAATTATAATAATTTTTTGGATCGATAATATAGTCAAATTATTATTCATTTAATAATAAAAAAAACTTCTTAATTATTTTAATTGCAAATTTATCAAATATCATATTTCTAAGTCTATGAATGTACCACTTACTAGATGTGATATAATTTGATATTCAAAGGACATTTAAAATTTGATTTTTATTACTTTTTTTTTTTTTTTTAATATATAATTTTGATATTTTCACGGACATTTAAAATTTGATTTTTTTACTTTTTTTTTTTTTTTTTAATAAAATGATACAATCTTTTTTATTTTTGGGTAATTCCATTCTTAATTGCATTAAGAGTGCTAATGCTTACAAAAGGTTCGAAGTAAGGGAATATCCGACAGAATAATCAAAAATAGAAATGAAATTTTCTTTTTTTTTTTTTTTTAATAAAATGATACAAATACTTTTTTATTTTGTAATTCCATTCTTAATTGCAATTAAGAGTGCTATAGCTACAAAAGGTCGAAGTAAGGGAATATCGACAGAATAATCAAAATAGAATGAAATTGCAAAAGCTTGCAAAATTCACAGCATTTTGATACATCAGGTCAATTGAAATGTACAACTACGAAATATGGAATTTGAACATAGAAAGACAAGGTGAAGAAAACAGAAAGAAACTGGGTTTCGTGAATCACACTCCTAGAATTAAACTGGTTCTCTATGACCTAGTATCTGCACTCAATAAACATATCCTGAAGTTTATGTTGTTCATTATCAAAACAATAATAAAGCAGCAGAAATGCATGATCATGCGACTTGCAAAACCAATTTATTAAATGTCTAGCTGTGGTAAGGAGAAACCATACGAGTTGTATGCTCGCCCGAATCCTCGTCTTCACTTTCTCCTTGAACATTATTGTCCTGAAAATTTATATCAATAACAACAAAAAAAAAGTTATCACACTTAAAATCACATCAAAGGAGCCATATATAGCATAAATAATGCAAATAAACACTTCTAAGAGTAAAGTAACCTGCTCCTCAAAAATCTTTGAGAGCTGCTTGGCTTTCTGTTTTTCAGCATTCTTTTTCTCCTCAAGCTTCCGACTCCTATTAACCCAGGCTAAAACCTCATCACCAGGTTCTGAATTTTTCTTTAATCTTTCTTCTTTCATCCTGAACAAATAGAAAGCTACAGAGATAAATATCAATATTCATGATAATGTAAAGAACTAGATTTATAAATATCAGATTTCTATACATATGTATGGACACCCATACAGTGCAAGATGTAGTCCATTTTTTTACTTTTAATAATTTGTTGTTAATGAGGTACTGATTCTAATGCTTATCATTCAAAATCCTTTAAAGAAGGCTTATCTTACATCATGTTATTTGAACAAGACAATTAAAAGTACTAAATAATATACTTCAGTTAAAAAGGATGTAGGAAAAAGAATAGAAGCCAGTATCAACAAAGTTTTACTTACTTCAAGATGCGCTCCTCAAGTTGCGAGACGGGTGCACTTCCTCCTCGAGATGTTTCTTCAGCCTTTTGTTCATCCTTATTGTCAAAAGAAACCTTTGATTGTTTTAAAACACTGCTATCCTTGTTGTTTTCATAGTCCATTTCGACTACGTCATCTTTGCTTCTATCATAGTCTTCCTCATGGCTTCTTTTACTCACTTTCTCTCTGTCTCTCAACCTTTCTTTATCATAATCTGAATCTCTCTCCCTCTCCTTAGTCTTCTCTCTTCCTTTTTCCCTATCTCTATCTTTCTCAACTTCCCTCTCTTTCTCTCGATCCTTATATTTCTCCTTCTCCTTTACTCTTTCTCTTTCCTTCTCTCTCTCCTTATCCCTATCCCTATCCCTGCTCTTCTCCTTCCCTCTGTCTTTCCTTTCCTTATCACGCTCACGCTCCTTCTCTCTTGACTTCTCCTTGTCCAAATCCTTGGTGACATCTTCACTATTCCTCTTGGAGGAGCGTTCTCTATCCTTGTTTCTATGTTCCCTCTCCCTGTCTTCTCCTCGGCTGCTTTTCTTCCTATCCTTATCTCTACTAGAATGCTTACTTGATTTTTCAACTCCATCTTCATCATATTGCCTTCTTGGCGAATCATCTAGACTATCTCTCTCCTTGCGTCGCTCGTACCTGGATTCAGAATCCATTCCTACTACCGGATTCAGGCCCTAATCTTTCCAGCAGTTCCTCAAACGTTCAACACAAAAGCAGAGACCACAAAAGCAATCCAATTAGATAAACCCTAAAATCTAACAGCAACCAAATTAGACTTACACATGTGAAGTATTGAGCAATTACCTCGAAAGGAATTTCAAAAGGTGCAGCAGCTAGCCAGGAAGAACAAATCAGGGCTCGCTCAGATAGCGAATTTTTGAACTTTTGATAATACGATGCGATATTACGAGAACAACAAGGAATGAAGAATGCGAGGCCCAAATTTGGGCTTGGGCTTTAGCTTGGTTGTATCTATGTACTTGCTTTAATGGAAAATAAGCCCAGGAATATTAGAACCCTGTTTGGGAAAGTTTAAGTTCAGAACTGTGGATTTCTTATGTTTTGATCCATTCCCAAACAAAAAGTTTTCGTCGTCGGATAAGAAAGTTTCCCCTATCGTTTCAAATGTTTTCCCCTTTTATCAATTATCCATCGGTCGAACAAAATAAATGGGCCTTTATTGGGCTTTCTGAGACTTAAAAAAGTGGAATGCAGTCTGCTAATGTTTTTCAGCATGTGTTCAGCCCTAGGTTCACCAGAGATGAGCGGAGATGGAGCTGTAGAATCACAGCTTATCCTATTCCTCTTGATCTCGCGAGAAAGAAAATGAAATGAAGAAATCAAAGCTGCAACGTTGTTTGCCAGACTGAGAGAGCGGCTGGAGTAAGGGTGAGCATGGTACAAGGAGTCGCTGAAATTATCATAATGTGTAGTAAGTCGAAAAAATACTCCATTTTGTTTATAATTAAATTATTTAATTTATTAACATGTGTTAATAAGACAGATTAATATAAAATAAATTATTTTTATTGATATCTTAATGATCAATTTTTATATCATTTATGAGTGACCGCTATTAAAGTACGTCAAACATATACCATGTACATGTAATGTGCAAAATATAATCAAATAATTTAAGTGTCACAGAATATTTAATGAATGACAAATAACAGGTCATTAGAATTGTTGACATACATACATATTGAAGTTGAGCGCGATATATAATTTATTAAAAAAATTAATTTTTTTGTACAATTTAATATTTTTGTATTATTATGTTTAATAAAATGATAATTTTTACCTTTAATAATTTTAATAATCTTATCAATTATACATATTAAAAATTAGTAATTTGCTCTTTTTTGTTAATCAAACATTAAGTTTTTTTGCTTATTTGGTATAAAATTAGGGTGATAATATACAAAAAAGAAAATTGAATTTTTTTTTTTTGGGTAAATTGTATATCATATTCTTCTATATATATTCAAAGGTGAATAAGGCAAGGAAATAATTGGAGTTGCACAATGCTTTTTCAATTAGATTTCTTTCTTGTGCATCATTTGCTTGAAGAATGTAGCCAACTGTTCATCACCAGAAAACAGGCTCAATCATTGACAATGACAAGGAAAGATCATTGAGGATTTCTTGAACTTGGACAATATATAATAATTTGGGTTGGCCAAATTCAAAAGCACGTTTATTAGATTTTAGAGGATTTGTTTATTTTGAATTTCTCCTCTAATTTATGTGCAAAAACTAATTTAGTACACCTGATTTTGTTTTTTATTAGATTGAAATTGTGATTATTGTGCCATAAATTGAATGCCATTTTGCAAACTGTTAGCTCCATATGGGTGGACCTAAGCCTATTCAAAATGTTAGGGTTCATGTTTATAATTGAGTGCAATAATTGCTTAAGGGTCCCAAGTTCCAAATTTCTAAATATTTGCGAAATAGTATTAATTAAATTAAATTTTAGCCCTATTTGGTCCTAAATCTCACATAGCACGTAAGTACCACACGTGCAATAGACTCCCAGCTTTAGGTATTCAAAAAAAATAATCAAAAGGATATGGATGGACCATCTCTTTGTGTGAATTTTTAGGCATTTGGTTGAATTATGGTTCTTTGAGATTAGGATTGCAGGGTCCATTGTGAAAACAACTTGCACTTTGCCAAAATTTCTACTACTTCTACACCATGCATGCTTATCTTGACCTTCGCAATTATAATCAATTTAATTGATTTATTCACATTACACATGGACTTTATTCATTAAACCGGAAATAGGGCTCGTTTGCTTCGAAATCTCATATCTTTTGGGTAGTATATTTCTTAATAATATACAGATGGACTTCTTGAAAATAAATTACTTTCAAATAATAAAAGATAATAATGTTCATAATATAAATTTAAGTATATTTAAATGATAAGATAAATTAATAAATTTAATTGCGTTTAATTAAGAAGTTAGATGACGGACGTTCCTAGAAAGTAGAATTGATTCAAAAACAGATATTTTATGTACTTTCTTGAAAATTACATTATTCTAATCTACTTTTCTCGAATCAAGCATATCTTGCTCCGTTGAATTTAGTTGTTATAAGGTGATTTCTATTACAACGATGTTGTAGTTATTAAATTTAAAATTATATTGAAATAAATGTTATTATTATTAATAATTGTATTGAAATAAATGTAATTTCAAACCTAATCACTGAAAAAACAACAGCTACACCTTCCTCTAGTTTTTCTGTGCCAAGTAAGACATTTACATAAAATCCATTGATATGCTGAAATTAAAAGATTTACTGTATGTGAATTCCTTTTAAGAAGATCACCAAAGGATATAGTTCTTACTGGGTTTCATGTGCAAATATTTGAAAGATATGAACAATGTACACGCCATGCATGCATGTGGTGCTCAATTAGGACTTAAAACCTAATGAAATCCGGTGTTACAATCTCAATGGGCCCTTGCGCCCGACATTTATAGATCATAATGCATTGATTAAAAATTATTCAAACAATATTCTCTGAGTTAAAAAAAAAAAAAAGAAAAGTAAAAAAAATTAATTAATGCTTTTGCTAATCAGAAGTCTTAATTTAATCTTCTATAGTTAATTAAAGTTTCAGCTAAGTGGTCTTTTGGACCATTAACTAATTTAACAACACAATAACCCTACATAAGTTGCAAAAAGAAAAAGAGACCCTTATTCGAGGGAAATGGGTCGACTCCACGTCAGGCCTAGCTCATCTCAATTAAGGGCAAAGAAGACTTAACTCTAATAATAATAATAATAAAGTGCTCAATTAATTAGATTATTAACGAGTATAAGTACAAAAATGAAAGCACTACATCAACCTAAGTTTTGACGGGTAATGCTCTTTACAGAGCATATTGGGCATAAATGAACTTTTTCAATTTTTTTTTTCCTCCAACGATAAAGGTGGGAATAAACTGATTATGACACATATATATTTATATATATATATTACCAATTATGAGTAGCAAAATTTGAAAAAAAAGATATTATAATTATAAATAATTAATATATATAGTACATTAACAGTGGAATACAGGGTTGCAGCACACAAGTTTTGCTCCAAGAAATTAATTGACCAGTGGATGAATTTATATTTAATTATATTGTAATGCTAAATGAGTCAACAAGATGAGCCACTAGCTGAATATTAAGCTTACGATTTGGAAGGTTCCAAGATAATTAATAATGAGTACTAAATTACTAATGTTACAAGTACTCCATATTGGGGTGGTTGTTCTAGAAGAATAATAATTTTAAATGATAATTAGAAAAAATAAAAAATAAACTGAAAATAAGATTTGAGCTATTTTGAGAAATATAAGATTACTACTTAATTTACCATTAATTTTAAAAAGAAAATCCTTTCTATTTGTTATCATGAAATATGGGTTCAGAGAACCATATATATATAATAATTAATTATACTAAGTATATATACTAATTAATTATACTATATATGTAGTACGGTACAAATTAAAGAATTATATATGTTTTCAATATTCCTCTGCTTTTGCTGTAGTTGATGACTTCCCCGGCCCAAAAAAGACAAATAAAGCACCACAAATATATGCATGCATCTATTCTGTCATAGCAGGTTTAAAGATTATACATGGATACAAAAACAGTAGAAGATTAATTAAAACTTAGATAGAATATTCCTTGCAACTTCTATATTTAAGGAATATATATCGTGCAATTATTATCACATTCAACTCACGAACATAAGTTGATGAGTTTGGTTTAATAATATATGATGGTGTTTGGAATAATAAGTTCATGCTCTCCACCTGGATCGGAGTTATCTCGAATGCAAATGACGAGTTATGATATATGAGTATTGGTGGGCTTAAGTCTAAATAAAAGTTAGTTAGCTGTTTGAACGCTTTCAAGAATTGAATCTAGACTCACTAGAAATTTGTCCAACATAATTTCCATCGGGCTAACCATCTAGGGTGGAAATTTTATTAATTTTTGCTAAGCATAATTATTAGAATTACAACTAAATGGTTAATTATATCGAATTAACATGAAAATTTGGACTTGATAAAAAAATAAGGAGAGAAAAAAAAAGAAAAAGGTAAATATACGCTCTAATTGGTAGTTAACATCAAGAAATGCATAAACTAAACAAGAAAGCAAAAGCTAGGGTTTTAAAGGGAGAGAAAGAAGAAGCATACATGGTAGTGGAGGATGGAAAATGGGCGTGGCAAGGAGAGACTAAGACTAGTGTAAAACCCTAGAAAATGGAGGTGACCACAGCATGCCGGATCTGACAATGACCATTCACTGTATATTCCTTCGAGAAAGAGATTGTGGGTCCTCTTTATCTCCCTCTTTCTCTCTCTCTACTTCCTCTTCTTCTTCATGTTCTTCTTCGATGAATGCGGGATCAAGAAAGAGAGAGCGCACGAGCATTATATTAGTATAACGTAAAGACACTCAACTTTTCTTTTTTTCTTTTTCTTTCATTCTCTCTTTCTTTTTTAAATTTAGACCACTTTCTTTCTGTTCTTCTCATTCCTCTTTGCCTCATTTCGTAACAGTTCCTTTATGTTTGTACTCTTTCAAAAGCTTTCTTTTTTCTCTTTCTACTGAGAAAGAGAATCCAAGACAATTATAAACAGTCCAAGCAAAAGGGGTTTCAACAATTTTCCTTTTCCTACATGCAGAGAGTAGAGAGATATGTTCATTTCCCAATAATGCCCTCATTTAAACAACTTATTTTCACTCTGTTGCCAATATTTTTTAGCTTCATCAAGTTATGATAGCTCCCATATATGTGTAATGCATGGAGTGGACAAAAGTAAGGAAGAGGAATAATCTGAACTAATAATTTGTCATAATTTCTTCTGACAAAGTTTATTAAACAACCAATGACAACACATTGGTAGATGCTTTAATGATTAGGGAATTCCAACTAAGCCTCATTATAGAAATACATGGTTGAAGCAATATTAGTAAGCCTCTCTTTTGCATGCCAAGAAGAAGAAGGAGAAACTAATTAAAGGTGTTCAAATCTAACTGCATGCCCCAACATTTTAAGAAACCATTTTCAGCCGGAAAACTCTGAATTTTATTGGGATGAGAATACTACAATTTGATCGGCAAATTAATTGTTTTGATAACCGTTAGCCATTTTAATAGCGTTCAGCTGTTAGCTGTTTAAATAATTTTTTATAAAATATTAAAAGCTAATAATGTTACATGATTAACATTATATGGTTTATTCTAAGAAGCCATTTCCAATTAGCAAACTCTGAATTTTATAGGGGATGAGACTTCGTATTTTTCAAATCAAATTGATCCATTGTTTGGAATCATTTTTTAATTAATGTAATTTGATTAATATTAATGCTTTGTTGGGATAATATTCAGGTAAGCTCTCTTAATTGTAGTATTCCAAAATTCAAATATTTAACTTTGTTAGTAAAGTTTATCTAGAATGCAATATATTTCTATTAACCGCTTGTTGATTAAAAGAATTAATATTGCTAAAATTGATAATGGTTTGACTTAGATTAATTACGCCTAGAATGAATTACATAATTACCTACTTAACTAATTAATTAACATGCCTAGGAGATTACTGTATTACTTTTACCAAACATCATTTTTAACATTTCATAATTATAATGTTGTTTAAAATGTTGTTGCCAATTGGTGTAATGATGGATTCTCTAAACCATATATGAACATGATCAATGATAAATGTGAGTGTAATCCTAGTAATTAAGTGCAACAACAAAGGCATATCCACATGGCCTATAAAAAGAAAATGAAAACTTTCAAGTTTTTCAACGGTTAGAGAAATCCTTGTCACTATCCCAAGCCAGTCAAAAGAGTATTTTGGTAATATCCGACAAAATCAGAGGCTTTTCCAACATCTGTCCCTGTTTCTCTTTTAATCGTTCGTGTTCAAACTTCCTTCAAAGAAAGTCAAGGTGCACTTTTGTAATTATTCCTCAATTCAATGCCTTCTTTTATGTCCTTTAACTACCATCTATTTATACACTCAAAAGCTCTTCATTTCTCTCTCACCCTATTTGTTCCTCATCACTACACATACACATTATATACTTTCAAACCCTTTCTTCTCTTTCAATCCAAGTTTTCCCTCATCAGTGATCTTCATTATCTTTGAATTTTACTGTGCTGTAATCATGTCTCCTAGGTAATTAAATTACCAGACATTTTACCTGAACTTGTACTGTTATTTGTATTATTTCTTTGGATTCATATTGTATTTTTGCTTGACACAGGTTTTGCAGTGCCTAGTTCAACTGTAAATGCATGCAAATTAGGTAAGTAATTAAGTTTATTCAGTTTAATTAACAGCTTTCCTATTTTTTCCATTTTTTCTTATGTTAATAATAATCAATGATAAAACACTTTCAAGAAAGATTCCATTTCTATATAAAAAGTCGTGTTAATATATTTTTTTTCTTGCCATTTTAATAGCTTCAGATCCGAGGAACATCTTCTTTTCAAGAAAGACGAGGTTGTTGTTACGTGTAGATGTTATACTATCATCAATGGCTCCCAAGAAACAACCAATAATGCTGTTCATATTCTTGTTCTTGTTCTTGAATAATTCTCGCATGTTACATGCAGAGGAACTTGACCTACTTTTACAATTCAAATCTGCCATTAACGACCCTTTACAATATCTTTCCAACTGGAATCCTTCCACGACTTTTTGCAAATGGCAGGGAATAACTTGCAACAACGACTCTTTTGGCATTAAGGCCATTGATCTACCAGGAAAAAATATCTCTGGCGAGCTTCCCTTGTCAATCTTTCAATTGCCATATATTGAAACGATAAATCTTTCAAGCAATCAGCTTTCTGGTCAAATTGCTCCTCGCATTTTCTCAAGCGCTAATTCGCTTCGATATCTCAACCTTAGTAACAATAACTTCACTGGTTTTATACCAGAGGGATCAATTCCTTCCCTGGAGACATTAGATCTGTCTAATAATATGCTTACGGGGAAAATTCCTCAAGAAATTGGATCTTTTTCAAGACTTAAGTTTCTTGATCTTGGTGGAAATGTTTTAGTGGGAGAAATTCCCATCTCTATAACAAATATCACAAGCTTGCAATTCTTGACGTTGGCTTCAAATCAGTTAGTGGGTCGAATTCCAAAAGAAATAGGCCAAATGAAGAACTTGAAATGGATTTACTTAGGCTACAACAATCTTTTAGGAGAAATTCCAAAAGAAATAGGGGAATTAACTTTCTTGAATCATCTTGACCTTGTTTATAATAATCTCACTGGATCAATTCCCTCATCTTTAGGAAACCTCACTAATCTTCAGTATCTCTTTCTTTATCAAAACAAGCTTTCAGGTACAATTCCAGACTCCATTTTCAGCCTCAGAAAGTTGATTTCACTTGATCTTAGTGATAATTCTCTTTTCGGTAAGATTCCAGAGCTTATAGCTCAGTTGCAAAACTTGGAAATTCTCCATCTTTTCTCCAACAACTTTTTTGGAAAAGTCCCTACCGCTTTAAGTTCGTTACCTCGCCTCCAAGTCCTTCAACTTTGGGCCAACAACTTTTCAGGTGAAATTCCTCAAGATCTTGGAAAGCAAAATAATCTCACTATAATAGACCTTTCCACCAATTCTCTCACCGGAAAAATTCCTCAAGGTTTATGCACGTCAGGAAATCTCTTTAAGCTTATTCTGTTCTCAAATTCACTCGAAGGCGAAATCCCTAAGAGCTTGAGCACTTGCAAAAGCTTGCAGCGAGTACGTCTTCAAGAAAATAATTTATCTGGTGAAATTCCGCAAGAGTTCACGAAGCTGCCACTTGTTTATTTCTTGGATTTATCAGGTAATAATTTTTCAGGCAGAATTGATACGAGAAAATGGGAGATGAAGTCACTTCAAATGTTGAATTTGGCCAGAAACAGATTTTTCGGAGGCTTGCCTGATTCATTTGGCAGCGAAAAGCTTGAAAACTTGGATTTGTCTTCAAACAGATTTTCAGGTACTATTCCTTTGAAGTTTGGGAGTTTATCAGAGCTAGTACAACTGAATTTAAGTGGAAACAAGCTCTCTGGTCAAATCCCAGTTGAGTTATCTTCATGCAAGAAGCTTGTAAGTCTTGACCTAAGCCAAAATCAGCTTTCTGGTGGAATCCCTGCTGGTTTTTCTTTAATGCCAGTTCTTGGCCAGCTTGATTTATCCCATAATCAATTATCCGGCGAGATACCAAAGAATTTAGGTACAGTGGAGTCGCTTGTTCAAGTGAATATCTCTTACAATCATTTTCAAGGTAGTTTACCACCTACAGGAGCTTTTCTTGCTATAAACGCAAGTTCAGTTGCCGGTAATGAACTATGCGGCGGTGATACTTCTAGTGGCTTGCCTCCATGCACAAGAGTAAAAAATAATCCCGTTTGGTGGCTCTATTTTGCTTTTATTCTTGGTGGTTTAGTTGTTGTTGCTTTTATTGCTTTTGGGATTATGTTAATTAGGGGACGAAAGAGCTTAGAGCTGAAACGAGTGGAAAATGAAGATGGGATATGGGAATTGCAATTCTTCCATTCTAAGGGACCAAAATCAGTCACAATTGAAGACATTTTACTGTCCAAGAAAGAAGAAAATGTCATCTCTAGAGGCAAGAAAGGGCTTTCATACAAAGGAAGGTCAATAGCAAACGGCATGCAGTTTATGGTAAAAGAAATAAATGACATGAACGCAATTCCACAAAATTTTTGGCCTCAGGTTGCTGAATTTGGTAAGCTCAAGCATCCAAACATTATCAAATTAATCGGAATTTGTCGGTCGGATAGGGATGGATTTTTTGTTTACGAGTACATAGAAGGCAAAAATTTGACTCAAATTCTTCACAATTTAAGTTGGGCAAGACGGCGCAAAATTGCCATTAGTATTGCGAAAGCTCTCCGGTACTTGCACTGTTATTGTTCACCAAGTGTTCCCGTCGGTTATATCTCCCCGGAGAAAATTATTGTAGATGGAAGAGATGAAGCTCACCTGAGATTAAGCCTTCCTGATACCAAGTTCTTCATTTCTTCTGCCTACGTTGCTCCAGGTAAATCTCAAAATTTACCCCTCCCAACATATATTCTACATGACCACAAAGGTAATTTTATTTGTTATTTACATACTATAAATTTTTATAAAAGATAAAATATCAATTTAATTAGGAGAAAGTAGTCATATACCGCCTATGTTTTACACTTTACTGTATGGGCATGCGAAAAAGATTTGCTACGAGGACAACAATGATGGGTCAACATTAAATTATTAGAGTCCTGAAGTAAAGCATCATTAATTAGTCTTATATGTTTATCTTTTTCAAGTAAATTATACTTGCAATTTAATAGCACCAAATTAAGATTTGATTATTTATATTTATTATTGTTGGGAATGTTGGGACATTTTAGGTCTGCTCACATAATTATGATTGTTTCTTATGTTTTGTACCAAGATTTCATGTTGGATATTTCTTTTGTTTATTTATTATTTTCTTGCAGAAACTAGAGACTTGAAAGACATCAATGAGAAGAGCGACATGTATGGATTTGGTCTGATCCTGGTCGAGCTATTGACCGGAAAAAGTCCCGGCGACGCTGAATTCGGGGTACACCAAAGCATTGTTGAGTGGGCCAGGTACTGCTACTCAGATTGTCATCTTGACATGTGGATTGATCAAACGATCAAAGCAGAAGCATTGATGAATCAGAATGAGATTGTTGAAACAATGAATTTAGCTCTCCATTGCACAGCCACTGACCCTAAAGCCCGACCATGTGCAAGTCATGTGTTTAAAACCCTCGACTCTGCTTTGACGACAAGTCGTTCTTGTGTTTCAAGCTTAAAGCTTTCTTCATCGCGGTTCTAGTTTGTTTCATCATCATCTAATTTTTGTTCACGTTTTGATTTTTTTTTTCTTTTTCATTTTCCCTTTTTAATTATATATTGGATTTTCTAGTATAAGATGTTAAAAATGATTGTTACTCAAATGTTTTGTATGGTTCGTTTGACATACATACTACTGATGAGTGTAAAAATGTAGATATTAAATCCGCATTATATGAATTATAACTTTTTCTTTTAATTATATAATATTCAAAGAGGCATATTGTGATTAATTAAAGGCCAACTTGTAAAGTGTCTTTCAATATCTTCTTTTGTCACCTTGAACATTATGGCAGCACTTTATGACTGTTTATGATATGAACAAAGATTGTAACCCTCCAATGGCAATGCGCATCATCCAATTTGAGATTCCCCATGTGTTGGATAGTTTTGGGGCTTCGCGGTCCAATTTTACCATCATAAAGAAAGAAATTCATGTACATGTTGGCTTCATTTGGTGGAGCAAGACATTACATGCCTGCAGCCCCTTTTTATTTTTTTTTTATTTTTTTTGTATTAGGAGACAGAGTTATATGGACTCACCACTGGGGTATGCCTTGGTATGCTACCACGGCTCTAGTTGGAGAACTCATTAATAATAATTTTTCTAACATACTTAATTGCTGGTTTTAATCTAATTACATATATACTTAAATTTAAAAGTGTGTAAAATAATAAATTGGTTAAATTTCAACTTCTAATTAAGAATTGCTCTAGAATTATGAAAGAATTCGAGTTCAAATCTTATCGATCATAAGTGTTTTTATCAATTTTGTGAATTCAAGGGAAGACTACTCTTATTCTGTAGTTTGAAGTGTTGTTTCATCCATATAATGACCAATTAGCAACTTAAGAAAATAATTAAAAAAAAATTTGGTTTAGTTAATCTAAAATTATGAAATTGTATGTTCAAATTCTAACATACAGATCAAACTAACCGGAGAAAAGAAAGGATGTACCAAGAACAACACTAAAAAACATCCATTTACAATTGTGAGGTCACAAATCGAATCATAACTGAATCAATCTAAAAAATAAATAAACCTGCAAATATAATATATATATATATATATATCATCTCTCCTATAATTGAAGTAGTGGTGGTAGGCAAATGCAAAATACAGTTTCAGAGTCGAGCATGGCCTAAACTAGAATAACTGGGTGGGATACCAAGAAAGTGGATATCCCACTGTCGCCAAATTAAGACTCTTATCTCTGTCTGTATTGCTGCATAATGGAAAGTGGGTGGGTGGATGTAGAAGTTGAAAATAAAACTGCACTACGAATTTCAGAATGCTCTATCCTCTTCCATTTTCGAGTGACAATTCATAGTACTAAAAAGTGCATGTCACATATATAAAGATATATATTAGCTAGGATTGTGCTATGGGCTATGGCTATAGCTAGGATATTATTATTTTCTGTTTGTTGTTTTTTTCTTTGTTCTTCAAGTTCAATCAATAATCTTCATAGTGGCATATAGTTTTCTTTGTTTTTTTTTTTTTTTTTTTTTTTTTGTTTGTTTTTATATTTTATTTTTTTTTTGGTTGTAGATGTGGACTCTTTTGCATCCACCAACTTCGTATCTTTGGATTTTAATTTTTTATTTCTGTCTTTGGATATTTTTCCATCATCCTTTTGTCTCTATTAACTTTAATTTCTTGATTTTTTCCTTCTATTTTTTATAAATAAGCAATGCCAAAACGCAAATAAATTAAGCATATATGCCTGTTTCTTGCAAATTCTTTACTTGAGCGCAGTTGACCTTTATATGTGGAAAATCTTACTCGTAATATGTTGTGTGTTTCTTGATTATGAGGCTTATATATCCCTTTTTTTTACAAAAAAAAAAAAAAAAAAAAAAAAAAAAAAGAAATAAAACCACCAAAATAAACAAGAAAATCTTATTATAAGGACAGTTCAATTATTGTAAAATCGATTTAATAATATCCAGCATCCCCATCTCCTCGAAATACTAAAAAAAAAAAAAAAAAAAAAAGAAATAAAACACAAAATAAACAAGAAAATCTTATTATAGACAGTTCAATATTGTAAAATATTAATAATATCCAGCATCCCCTCTCCTCGAAATACTTTTAATTATATATGAAGTAAGGTTCATGATCTGAAGCTCTGAGATTAACAAAAAAAAGCTGCATGGATGTAGGAAAATGGGTTTTGAATTTTAATAATTTGGGCTTTTTGATCACTTTAAACGCATTCCAAGGCAAAAACACAAGTTGAAAGTCCCTGCAACTTCTATTCTGCCCATAGTGTACTACTCAGAATTTGATCAATCAATGGTCCTGATCATCAGAAACCAAGTTAGGTCAAATAGCGCTAGCCAACAAAAATACTACTGTTCATGCTTCAAGGGACCACTATTACATATTGTAGCGTGTAATATATATATATCCCTGATGATTTAATCATATTGTTTGTCTCCTTTGTCGGTCTTTCATTTGGTTTCTTTTAGAGTTATATAGACTTATAGAGAAATGGCCAAGAAAAAGAAAGAGAGGCCAAGAACTAGTGCACAACCAGAAAGCTCTGCATATATATGTGTGTTAGAGAGAGATCAAAAAGTTTATGCTTTAAGGCAGTGAAAGAAAATGCATTCCCCTTTATGCATGCTTTTGTCCTCATATTTCAAGACTTTTGCCTTCTCTTCACAGACAATGGCATGGTCAAAGTCCTCTCATTGCTACTCATCTTTGTAGATAGATATGAATCTCTACACATTCAAACCAAGAAAGTTTTCTTTTTTCTTTATGAAGATTCAAATTTACCTTCAAAACTAATTTAATGTTTCAAGTTTCAACTCCTCTCTCTCTCTCTCTCTCTCTCTTAGAGGGACCAGTGTAATGAGACTAAATTTTATTAAAATTATGTTCGGAAATAGCTTTTTAAATGTCTATTAAAAAAACTAAAAGTTATTTTTTATAATATTCGGTAACATAGCGTTTGAACTATTTTAAAAAATTAAGATAACGTTTAATAAAAGGTAACCTTTGTAATGTTTAGTTTTTTAGTGTTTTATGCAAAACTACTCAAAATAACTAAATATTATTAAAAACAGTTAAAAACTAATAAAACAACTAATTTTGGAGGAAAATTTTACCTAGACCTCCATGGTCCCACTCATACACTGTAAAAAAAATCCTTACTATGATTGGTTTGGTCCGTAAGCATGGTTATGGGTGCAGTCTAGACAAGTAATTTCCCTAATTTTACTAAACAGACCCTGACTGATAACTGCCAATAGTAAATTGTTGAATTAAACATGCCTATATCTGAAGTAATAATTCATGTAAATGAATTTAAATTAAAATAAAACAAAATCCAATGAATTTTTGTTGATTTATCATACAAATGCATGTTGATTAATTCCTTTATATAATTAGCAGCTGACAGATATAATAATAAACCAACAATTTCTATATATATATATATATATGATCTAATTATGACCTAATGTTTCAAAGATATGAATACACAGAGACTATCTACATATATGCAGACCTTTTTTGTGTTTTAATTATAACTTTTTAATGTATTTTTAGAGTATCTAAATGAATCATTGCTTTTCTTCCTTCTGTTGGACACTTTATTACCTTTTAAGATCATGGAGAAAGTTATATTGATTGACTTCACATTATCAGAACTAATTCTTCCATTTCATACACTTTCCATTCAAATCTAAAACCTAGCTACTTGAGAAATTCAAAATTTTACTAAAAAGATAACAGAAAGAGAGAGAGAAAGAGTATCAACATATATAATTTAATTCAATATTTATCTATCTGATATAAAGTTTGTGTTCTTAATGAAGCACTAAATGCACACAGACACCCACTAAGTTTAAAATTAAGTAAAAGATTAAAGAGATAATGTAAAAATGGAGTTTGGCCACAAACCTTTCTTGTGACCCACTTTAGCTTCCATATTGTAATGATGGTGCCTAGGGTTTTTTTTTTCCCCCACCTACCTTCTCTCACAGCAATGATGGCATTGACAAAAACCCTTTTCTTTCTCTTTTGCTCAATCAGAAGAAGAGAAAGCTTACATAGTTAGAAGATTCCACCATTAAAGATGAGGCTAAACATATAAAATTAAACTAGCTGACATTATAAGGACAAAACAGCTAAATTTTGCTGGCAAAGATATCAAATATACTGATATTGGAAGTGTTCTTATCTTAAAAGTCTCAAGATATCAATTATACTCCTTGGAGACCATGAAAAAGGTTCTTTGGCTTTTTTCTTTGTATTTAAAAAGTTCCTTTTTCTCTGTCAATGCCTTTCTTTTTCTTCTTTTCTTTGCAAAAAATTAAATGCTGTTCTTTGATTCAATTAATTATGGGGGAAGAAAGCGTTCATGTCTTTAATTTTTCTTTTCTCTTCTTTTCATCGGTTTGCTTGTATATAACATGACGAACATTTTTCATGAATGCTTCTATGGTTTGAGACAACTGGTTGGGTTCTTTTTTTCAAAAAAAAAAAAAAAAAAAATCTATGGTTTGCAGACAACTGTTGGGTTCTTTTTTTTCAAAAAAAAAAAAAAAAAAAAAAATATTGGGATTAATAATATAATTGGATACACGTACGTCATTTTGATTAACCCTCTTCATTTAACACAATAGTGCAGTATATCAAAGCAAAGGGTATTTTCGTTTTTGGCAAGCACAAAAAAAAAAAAAAAAAAAAAAAATATTGGGATAATAATATAATTGGATACACGTGCGTTCCATTTGATTAACCCTCTTCATTTAACACAATTAGTGCAGTATATCAAGCAAATGGGTATTTTCGTTTTTGCAAGCACAAACAGAAATGGCTAATTTTTTTTGCAAATGACGTCTCTAATTCCCTTAATTCTTTAAAAAAGCAAAACCAAGTGATTGGCTCCGGAGAAAGATTTCTTAATTCAAAAAGGAAAAGAAAATTGAAATGCCCCCGAAAAAATATTTTTTTTCCTGCCGTCACGGGAATTTTTTGCTGTTGGGAGAAATTTTTCCCGTCTGGTTTACGCAAAACACTTACAGGTTATTATAATTGCATTCCAAGTTTACAAGATTGATGGTGTTTTGTTGTTCTCTCCTCCAAAAATGAAAGAGAAAAGTCATTTTCTGGATCAAATTAGGCAAGCTATCAATTCAATCAGATGGATGTTTTAACATTTTCTGAAAAAATGGATATTGAAATGAC